ATGCAATCCCGCGAGGACATTCAGACTCTGTAATCGACAGGAGGCGGATGCGTGTCAAACTCACTGTCGGAGAGGAAAGAGAGACGCAGCTTGTATCGGTGTATATACGGTAGGCCTAGATACTGTGGAAAATGAGTAATGGAACTGTGTCAGATATTTCAGTATCGGTATCAAAATATAGATATTTATGATAACACTACCATGTAGTTTGTTTCTCCAAACTTTGAGTCCATAAATTACGCTGAGCTCGGTCTGATCAGCTCTTCAGAACCTGCTGCAGTGGCGGCTTTTCCCTTTTCAGATATCAGGGCTGTTATTGGTCCCTTCACGATCGGATATCTTTATTGGCTACTGAAGTGCCGTCAAAGGTTTGAATATCAATTCAAATTGTGGGCGTAGCCTACTCCGTAACGAACTATGATTTAAAAGTAACGAAGTAGATTATTTTGCTTAATTTGTACTTAAGTACAAGTAAAAGTACAGCTTTAAAAATATACGCAAAAAAGTACAAGTACCAGAAAAAACTACTTAATTACAGTAACGTGAGTAGTTGTAATTCGTTGCCTCCACCACTGATATTCTTATATATATAGTATATGTATTCTTTTTCTAACTGTGTGTTAATTAATTTTAAATAAAATGTTTTTTAAACATGTACGTACATACATAAAGTGTTTTAAATAATACACTTTAAACTTATTTTTGTGAAATATTTGAAAGCATACTTGAAAAGTATGCTTGTGGAAACAGTCTTTAAAATAAATGCCACTTGGTTTGAAATTGTGTTATATAATGCAATGATATATAGTTTTAAATGTGATTTGAGTGTCAGAAATGCCTGTTAGTGTCGTTTTATATCTATAGAAATCCGAAACTGTCTTCGTAAAGGTGCATACGTGTTTATTTATCCTAGAAAATTTCCCCTAACTGATGAATTGCACAATTATGTGTGAGAATACAGATAGGCCTATATACAGACACAGTCATGATGCTGTCTGGCACTAGACAACATCATCTCCTGAGTGCTCACTTCCCCTCCCCCTTTACCTTCCCTTAATACTCCTTCTATTCTGGGTAGCAGAGCAGGCCTCAAAGGTGGTGAGTCAGTTGGCGAGAAGGGCACAGGCACAGGGGAGAGGAGGGCTGGAAAGAACTGATTTTCCAGTGGGCCATGCGGAGCTGTCTGCTCCCCAGCACTGTGTAAGAGAGTTGGGCTCACAGAGGGACACTCAATATGTGGAAATATACAGTTTTCATGCCGTTCCCTGCTGCTAAAATCAAAACTTAACTACACCTCAAGCCATTTATCGACTAACCTTTCATTGCTGCCTTAAGAAGCTGAGGGAATTGTATACTATACACTGAGTAAATCCAGGGTTTTCCAACCCTTTGTGAATGATAGGAGAGATTGATGCTGGTTGAGACAATCTGTTGACTGACTTGAGCAGCCCTACCACATGATGGGGTTCATTGGGTTGCCATAGAAACGTCTGGCGCAGCAATCTGCTGGTACAGTAACTTATGGAGCCAGAGCTTTATAATGGGGAGTTTATCATCCGCAGGATTTCTTTAAAAAAGCTGCCTGGTGAAGGTCACTCTTCTGAATCAGACTTCTGATTTAGAAGACAATTAAGTTGTTTTGGTTCTACTACAATAAACACCTATAGAATCTTTAATAATGTTTTACAATGGGCAAATAAATTAGTTTTGGGGAGATGGGATTTTTCATGCAAGAGTATTAACAATGTTCGGAGATCAGTATATGTTAAACTCAATAGACAGCATTTGTGACAAAAACCAATTTCAACTTGCTTCTCATTTTCTTAAACAATAGCCAATTTTTTAATGATTTAAAAGCATAAATGTAAAGTTTCTGATTTTATAAAAGCACTTACATTAATTCTGCAGTGAAAACCTTTGTATTATTCAAGCCGTGAAGTTGTTGTCTGTTTTTATGGTCATTTTAAAGGTGACATATCATGAAAATCTGACTTTTTCCTTGTTTAAGTGCTATAATCGGGTCCCCGGTGCATCTACCAACCCAGAAAATGTGAAAAAGATCAACTAGTACATTTTTTTTGGTTAGCCTTTCTTTGCAAGCTTGTGAAAAAATGAGCTGCTCCGATTTTTCTCCCCCCCCGTGACGTAGAAAGGGGATCCTATTATAATATTACCGCCCCTTAATCTGCATGTTTCCACCCACGGCGCCCCCATTGCGACAACAGTGTACTAGTTCTAACGCCATGGCGAAAGTTCGAGCAAAGCATGCTAACTGTTCTATCTTTGGCTGCACTGACGAACACAGAACACTATTTAGAGTCCCAGCCTCAGAGGAGACGAGAGCAGTGGCTTTTTTGATTTATTTACTGTATATTACGCTGCTGCCACACAGATCTAATAACCGTGTGATTTCTTTCCCAGCTGCTACCTTCACAGACAAATTCTGGAGACACATGAGATTTACATTATATTGTAAAAAGGGGCATAATAGGTCTCCTTTAAAGGGGGGGTTGATTGCGATTTCACTTTTTTAACGTTAGTTAGTGTGTAATGTTGCTGTTTTGAGCACAAACAATGTCTGCAAATTTACGAACCTTAAAGTTCAATGCAAACGGAGTCTTTTAAAATTCTGGCAGTTTAATGCCTACAAAAACGGCTGGTAGGGACTACAACAAGTTACTTCCCGGGTTCGTGACGTAACAAACCCAGATAAAACCCGCCCTCGGGAAAAGACAGCATGGGGGCGAGGCCATGCTGCGCTGCTTTAGAGAAGAGGAAGAGAAAAGTAGGGATGCACGTAAAAACCTATTCATATATGAATCGCGATTCTGTCTTCTAACAAGGCCATGCTGTGCTGCTTTAGAGAAGAGGAAGAGAAAAGTAGGGATGCACGTAAAAACCTATTCATATATGAATCGCGATTATAGTCCCATGGCCTTGTGATTCTAATGGATTCACAAGTTTCAAAATCAATGTTCTAAAGCAGCGGTTCTTAATACTGTTCCTCGCGTCCCCTGCTCTGCACACGCTCTGCATTTCTCTCTCTCTCTCTCTCTCTCTCTCTCCCTC